TATAGTGTTCCTTATAGACAATGGCTGATGAACTAAGAAGTCATTGATGCTATTTCTTCATAGAATTGATTATCATAATATGAACTAAATTTTATGATTTTTATTATAAAGAACCGTGGTGTTAATTTTGTGGGTTCTCTTTGGGACATTTCTGAAATGTAATGTTTCTGTGTATTTTCACCCAAATGTGTCTGTGATGTAGTATTTGGAAAAGAGCCACCCTTACTTCTACTTATTCAGTAGGCATTTCTTTTTATTTTACTGTTTTATAGCTTAATAGTATTATTTGAAGCTTTTTACATATGTCTTACCTGGTAGAATTATCATAAGCATGACTTTTCAGCACTAAATATTTTGTATTCAGTAACTATTTTGTTGCTTTATTTTTGTCAATAACTATGAAATTTATTTCTCAAGTGACAGTTTAGAGATTTTCTAATGAGGGAACACAAAACATTATTCCTAGAGAAAATTGTATGCTTTTATTTTACTTTAGATTTTCGTTAGGACAATGTTTGATAGTCCTTTTGAATTGTTAAGGGTTTTTTTTTTTAAGCTCTAATGACTATGACCACCTGGGTTTTTATTTTTTATTTTTTAATTCCTCAACATGTTGATGTATCTGGACAGTCCTACAACTTTTGAATGTATAGTTATTCTTTTTAATTACTTACAAAGGCCTAGCACTTACTGAGTACTTAAGCATTGAGGATGGGGGTAATAATAAAAATGTTAATAATAGCTATGATTTATTGCATATTTATTATGTGTCAGGCTCTATTCTGAGCACTTTTTCATGCAGTAACTCACTTAATCTTCATGATAACCTACCAGTTAGGTGGGCATTATTTATTATCTTTATTTTGCAGATGAAGAAAAGACAAATAGTGCTTAATAAATTGCCCAGTGATTTCAACTTAAATTTTTAGGTTCTACTCTCTTATTCACTACCATATACCACCTTGCCTTGAGGAGAATAAAAACTTATTTCACTTCCTTAATGATAAGAGATGGACTAGAGGTTTATTTAAAATGATGAGCTTTTTTAAATGAGTACCTTTGTAACCCTTGCAAATCTCAATGAGTAGTAAACTTTCTCGTTAATTTAGAAGAAACTGGTTGATACTGAGTAGTTTAAAAGATGCTCTGTTGATACCATTGTTTATCTTACTATTGAAAAATTGCACATAGTTTTTACTCTGGGACATTGGTGTCCCATATTCCATTACTCTGGTTAGAGTTGAACAATGTGAATTACACAGAAATATGTTTAAAAATAAGTTTTATGACTAGTTCACTTAAGTACCTTTGTAATTACTGATACTTTCTTATTCTCTTGAAGGTAGTAAATCTTACTAAAGTTGATATTCTGCTAAGGCATTGGTTTGAATGCTCTTTTTTTTTTCCTAAGAGATATGGTCTTCCTTTGTCACCTAGGGTTGAACCTAGGTGAACCTCAAACCGCTGGGGTCATGAGATCCTCTCACCTCAGCCACTATGTAGTCAGGACTACAGGCACACGCCATCATGTCTGCCTAATTTTTTTTGTTTTTGTTTTTGTTTTTTTTTTTTGTTTTTTGAAGAGATCAGTTCTTGCTAAGTTGTCTAATCTGATCTTGAACTTTTGGTTTTAAGCAGTCCTCCTGCCTTGGCCTCTCCAAATGCTGAACTTGCAGGCATTAACTACCATGCCTGACTGAGAGTACCGTCTGTTTTTCTTTTTAATTAATGCAGCTCTTGAAGTGCTGTTGGAATTTAAAAATTAACTTCTCAGATTTGATTTTTCTATTTCAGTACATTTACTATGGTGTATATGAAAACAATACTTTAACCACAAAGGGCCACTCTATGTATATAAATATATTACTAGTGACCTCTAGTTAATAAGATATTCAAGTAAAGCAGTTTTCTTCTCACTGGGGTTGATAATGAAACTTTCAAATTTAATTTTCGTGGCTTTCCTTTTACCTTTAGGATTTATTTGTGAGATAGTCCTTGAACTTAGTGGTGCTCTATGGTCATGAAGTTGGACTTTGGCTGTTGTTTAGCTCTCTTTCTGAAATAGAATTGTAAACTTAGCCTCAGTAACAGTATCTGTTAGCTAACAGAGCTGACACATTTTCTTAATCAGAGACTTAAAGTGTAACTCTAATAAACAAGGGCCTCTTTTCCTCTAATTTATGACTCTACATCTTTCCTCACATTATTGGTACATTAAGATAGATTGTTATAGAGAGTAAAGCAGTCATTCTTCATGGCCTTGATTAGGGTCAAATTATTTCACATGTACAATAATATATAAAGATTAATTGTTTGAAAAAAGAAAAATTAGGAAGTTAGTAGGTCTTTTTCACTTGTGTTTGGTACCTATAATCAAGTTGGGCAACATTATGTCCTTTTTTTGTAAATAGGGAATAGTCTTTTTTTTTTTTTTTTTTTTTGAGACAGAGCCTCAAGCTCTCCCCCTGGGTAGAGTGCCGTGGCATCACAGCTCACAGCAACCTCCCACTCCTGGGCTCAAGCAAGTCTCCTGCCTCTGCCTCCCAAGTAGCTGGAACCACAGGCGCCCGCCACAACACTGGGCTATTTTTTTTTGGTTGCAGCTGTCATTGTTGTTTGGCGGGTCCGGGCTGGGGATTCGAACCCGCCACCTTAGGTGTACATGGCTAGCGCCTTAGCTGGTTGAGCTATAGGTGCCGAGCCGGGAATAGTCTTAAGGGTTTCTTTTTCCCA